GTTTCTTGTCTTCTTTCTCTACTCTACTTCACCTTCCTCTTCCTCTTCATTGTCTTCATCCTGCTCTTGTACGTCTTCAGGTCCACAGAACCAGTCTCGTATTTCTGTGTTTGCTGTATAGCCAGTTGCATTTTCATTGTCATTTTTAATAATAAGGATTTAACAGTTTGATTTGTTTCATTCTGGTCCGTCACACTAACGATTACAAATATAAATCAGTTTTCAGTGCTGCTGTGCTGTTTTCAGTGAAAACAGCACAGCAGCCACGAGCAAACCCTGGAAGATATAAAGAACCTCCACATCAAGATAGCCAGGTGGCACAATATCTGCCCCATACAAGAGGGACGATGGGAGGACAAACACGAGCCTACATGGTTTATGAATTTTAATTACTGACAATGCAAAAAATTTTTAATTAGCATCAAGAAATTTTAAATAATTTTTAAAAACTTTACATTCCCAGGAAACTGCTGTGTTTGTGAAATGTTCTATTCGGTGTACTATGCATTGTAGCATATAAGTGTACGTACTTTCCATCTAACTTATGTGAAGGTGGTTTCCTATTTGTAGTGACATTTGCCCTCTGAAGATGGTCCGCAGAGACCGAAACATGTAAGGGTGTTAAGTTTCTCATATAGTAATAAACTTACAGGTCACATTGGACGGAGTGATTTATATTTGTGATTTAACAGTGTTTTGTGGGTTAAAGAAATCTGTTCTCAGAAGTGCAATGTTTTGATAATCAAATTATAATACAATTTATTTATGTGTATGATATTCAAATAATTGTGCTCTATTAACACAGCCAAAGGGATCAGTTTCTTACATGTATAAGGTAAAGTTGTCCCTATGCTTAGTTAATTAACTGCCATGTGATTAAGATGTCTGCGGAAGTGGAGTTACAGGACGACACAAGCACAATAGACCATTAAAGGTCGCAGTGCTAGGGCCAGTTTCATGGCTCACCCCTCATACTCATACTTATACAGCACAACACTAGATTAAGGTGAATGGTTAGCTGCCGGAACCTACTGGGTAGAGGCTGTCTGGGCTGCAGAGCCCATCCGGATGCTGTGGAGAGGAGAAACATGTCTGTCCCCCCAGTGCTCTGGTCATTCAGTCTGCAGCCTACTTTTTCACTATACTGACTGAGCTATATTGTGCACTGAAGCTGAATGGTGCAGCTTGTCATGATCGACTGTTTGCACAATTTTAGGCCATCATTTTATATGTTCAGAATCACTGTATATCCGAAGAGCAAGTAGTTCTATTCATCTGTGGAAATGTCATTGGTGTAGGACTTCCTGACAACGCAGATGCTGGTCCAGGTTGTGGGAGAAGTTCCCCTGAGGCGAGAGACCCGCACAACAGAGGCTAACAAACAGAAAGACTTCCTAAGCACTCCAGGGTCTTCTAGTCAGGATGAGACAGATGGACCAGCGCAGTCTCAGAGCAGTAAACGCAAGCGTGCAGAGCAGGACCGTACCTCTGCGAAGAAGAGAAAGGTCAGATCAGTAACAGGTCTCACTCTTATGTGGTGTGCAGGCTTTAACACCACATTTTTGTTAACTCAGGGAATACTTTACAGTATGAGAGTTACAGCAGTGTAGGCTTGTATGGCAAGTCCTTGGTTTTGAATCCTGGCTGGGTTACTGGCATTGCTGACAGGGTTATATGGTTTTACTCAGTCTCCCAAGACAAATCGCAGAATAATGTCTTCGAATAGGCCATGATCACCTCCTTCAATATCCTTACCTACTCACTATTCATCAATATCTTCTCATCTTATTTGATGCTACATAACTTAATGTTCATTTATTGCAAATATGAACGCTTGTCAACCAGCCTCATCTAGCCCAGCAACATATGCAGACACTCACTCAAGGTTTGTGTTTTTTTTATTGCTAGTGGGGTGGGACTAAGTCCCTTGTACTGTGGCCACTTCTGGCCTATTGTACCAGCTCCAGATGATGGGCGAGGGTGATTGTGGAGCAGTTGGTGGAATGAAGATTGGCAGGGGAAACCGAAGTACTTTGAGAAAACCTGCCCCAGTTCCACTTTGTCCACCACAAATCCCACTTGACCAGACCCGGGATTGAACCCGGGCCGCCGCGATGGCAAGCCAGCGACTAACCGCTTCAGCTATGGCGCTTGTGTTTTGCTTTGTTGATTTTAAACCTTTGTGATATGAAACCTGTAGAAAATCTGACAGTAAAGGGATGAGGGCACACAGCTTGAGTAGTTCTTTATGAAGCTCTTGTCAGTGCTGTAGGGACCATAGCATGTGCCGATAACGAAGAGTGTTTTAACTGATGTGTTGTGTGTTTTCAGTTGGTTGCAGATGATTAACAACCAGAATGCCACAGCAGTTTCTTCATATGCAGCTGTCTTGTATTATACCTGAACAGACATTTGAAGTAGAACAGGCTTTAAAAACATGCTTCAGAGAGGAATAATCAGAAACAAGTGCACAGAAGCATAGAGTATGCCTGCAAAACTACGCGAACTAGGTAATGGTATCATTGTACCATTTGCAGGGTTCAATAAATGTCAACTTAGTGGACAAGTCAAATGCCATTCATGTGTTTCACTATACCGGTATCTTGCAGAGGAGTTCCATTGCTAATGGGTGTGATGGTACTCGAGACTTCACACTGATCTCGTTTGTCTAGACTTGTATCTGGGGTGTGCTTGGTTCAGACCTCAGATGGAACACCAGCTATTCAGGCAGTGTTTTCGTGGTTTGGTCAGTTTCTCCAGGAAAGTCAGTTTTCTTGCTGTCTCGTACTGTGTAGCCTGAGATACTGAAAACATTGTTGAATAACTAATAATAAAGACTTAAGAATTCCTTCCTACCGTTGTATTCCCATCCAGCCCTCACTTGCATATATCACTGAGTCCAAAGCCTGTGTTACTATGAGAGGTTATCGTGCGATTATTATGAACAGAATGATTAGATGACTGGAGGGGAATGTGGTGAAGTATGCTTGAGGGGAAGCATAACAAGTTGAAGAGTTATGTGAAATGGGTTGTTCTATGGGAAGTGCAACACATATATGGAAACCTTGTAGTGTATAATAATTTACTTCTTGCTAGCCATACTTTTTAGTAACCACAGACAAGTGGAGAAGGCTCTTGAGCCCTCTCTGTGTGCTTGAAAAAATGACAACTCGTGTAAATTATGGATCCAGTGTTATACCTCCTTTTTATTTATATGTCTGGTTGCCTCGATCTTAGAAAACAAGTTTTTGTTTTCTGTTTCCCACCAAGGACCTGATAAAGAACCTCAAGAGATGTTATGAAATTAACTCCACATTAGAAGCCATTTTTCTAGAGCTTGTGAAGTCCATAACGTGCATACTCAGTGATTGTGTGATTTCAGAATATCTGTCAGGGCTGTAATGTATGAGATCGGATCAGTGGAAGGGTCATGTGTGGAAACTACAGCTAGAGGTGGGAACTGTCAAGTTTTCCTGTTTGCTTCTTGATGAGTATTCCACTCATCATTTTCTGTCTCAAAACTTCTGAACTTGGGGATTTATCTTCAGTTACAAGTCATCTTGTAAATGTAATGCACACGTGAGGAAGTATTTATGTTGTGACAGTACCTGGCACAGTCAAACTTCTGTCAGCACGAGGTAGATCCAGTTCAGGTAGAAGGTAACACGAGTTGATACGTCTGGCAACAATTTGCTGGCACACTCTGTGTGTGACCCAAAGCTGGTGATGCCTACAACACTGTAGAAACCATCCTGCTGCTCCTGCACTGCCAGGGGCCCCCCACTGTCACCCTGGAAACACCACACAAGTTATGTTTCCATATCTGCTGGCAGAGCCCAGGAGTTCAGCACCAGAGGACCATTGAGCCTCTTTAACTCCTCGTATCATGAATTTATATTTAATGAATCATTTTCTTTTAAAAATTAATACTGTGACATGTAGACCGATTGCCAAGTAACAACTCTGTGTAATGTTTCCACAACAACGAGAGGACACATATTTTCTGTGTGGCTGGTGCCGGGGCTATATAATGATCAGCTGCTGTTACTAGAGAGTCTTGAGATGGCAGTTAGAAGAGTAGGAGGTTGGTGTGAGATGGCCACCAGCCTGCGAGGATGTCCACTGTTGGTAGACATCGCCAAGCAGCGCAGTGAAGACCAGAACTTTGTGTGATAATGATTTGTGAAGTGTAGTGTCACGAGCTGTACGAGTGTCCACTAAATATGATTACCACTCCAGACCCAATCTATAGTTACACTTATTACATGATAATATGTACTTCTTTTCATTACGTATAATGAACTTTAGCCGCAACGAAATCATGTCAAACCTTCTGTGTGTTGTTGACCCTACCTCTCCACACCCAGCTGCTATTTTTCTTTTGTGGGTTTGTTATGATGCTGTCAGTAGCTAGACAGTATATAGTGTAACCNACACACAGGCCCGGGAAGAAATCAGACGCAAACTTCGTGTCAGTCAGTCATTCACCGCTTCTTTGTAACTTGTTATGTGTGTGTGCCGCAGATTAAGATAAAGTACTGATTTGAAGTTATATTCAGAAGTGGATCAGCAATAAGCAACTAAAAGTGTGTGAAACATAATTAAATATAGATTTTAATTGTGCTTGGATAGTATGTGTTCTTTCTTCATTCTTTGAGTTGTGGCCCGTCAAGGCTCTGGGATAAGAGGACTCAAGCTCTACCGGACCAACAAACCCACATCCTCAATAAATTAATCCAAAGATCAAAAAACCCTGAGATTTAGCGCAAGAAAGAACAGCGAGAGCGACCAACGTGTGCGGGCGAGGTGAAAGAGCAATTAATAAGAACAAGGTAGGTGAAGGTGTTAAATATAAAAAGTGAGAAATGGGAAAAGGAGGCCGGAGCGGTTAGAATAGCGTTGAATTGTATGATGACAGGTAAATGATTTAGAATGAAACAGTCTTGACCTAATCGAGGTGGTATCATTGAAATCGTCTGGGGGGACTTCGGAAGACCATGCAAAACCTCTGTCAGGGTTGATATTCAGACTGAACACCACCTGAGTACAAGCTGAGAGTGTCGCTGCTACACCCACCCACTCAGCCTCTGTATCTGACATAGTCAGATCATCAACTGTATCTGTGAGTTCTATTTAAAACTGTTCCATACTCCATCGTGACTTAGAAGTGAACTGTTGTTTGTCAGTGTTGATTCCTTTTCTTCACTCTATGGTTTTTGTTGGACCTTCCCCTGGGCCACTTTGTCCACCACAAATCACTCTTGGACTGACCTGGTATTGAACCCGGATGTGTGCAGATAGTAGCTGAGCTGTGACATGACTTGCTGTACAAACTGCAGTGGTTCTTTAATGTTAACTGAAATGAGAGGGTGTAGAGTGTGGCAAACAAAATCCCCGCGCTGCTACAACGGAATGCAGCGCAACAAGATCCAACATCAGCAAATGTACTCTCAGATAAATATATATTTGGTCGTCGACTTACGACCGACTTCCGTTCTGACTGACAGGTTGTAAATCAATCTGGTCGTATGTCGGCCATATATTTATTAACAGTATTTTTTAACCTTCCTAATCTTTTTATCATAATTTATTTTTAAAACTTTTACAATTTAATAATCTTTTATTTTTCATTTTAAATACAGTAATGTTTTATCTTTTACTTAGTGATACTGTACATATTGTGACATGTTGACCCCTACCTCCCCAGCGGCACGTAGCGGTAACGTAGCGCTCGCGTAATAGGCGATTCATAACCCCTCTGCTCTCCCGCGGTGACGTCACGAGCGGAGCCGACGTTAGCCGAGTCCCCGCAACCTTGAAGCTATGCAAAGCGAGTGAACAGCGGTGACATCACCAAGGGGTAACAGCATCCTAGGCTATACGCCACGTCACACTAGCAACAGCGAACGGAATAAAAGCCGGCTGAGCAGCAAGCGAGAGTCAGTGTGTTATCAACAGTGCTCAAGGTAGCAGCCTGGGAGTGTGCGATAACAAAGAAGTCAGCGAGCGGAAGACTTATTGTGTGCTTTCGAGACTTAGTGAGTGCTGTAGTACAGTTATACTTGGAGAGTGTAATTCAGGGAGATTTGTATAGCTCCCGCGTTATTAGTACGTGAAGATTTTGTTGTAGGGTTTGTAAACTGTGGAAACCCGTAACATTGGATAAGTAATTGTAGCCGTTTTTTGTAGATTGTTGAATAAACCAATTAACGATCTCTATGGCGTATTCAGTAACGAAACACGTTACAATATCTTCGTTTCTACGCCTAGGCTATCTGTACATACTGTGGTCATAAGTCGACGACTAAGTGTATTTCAATGAGTAGCTGGTGACTGCAATGAAGAATATCATTTAAGAAGTTTTAACTCTATTTTTAATTCTAATCTTAATGTTTAAATATATTTTAATTAATAATTAACATCACATTCACATGCAGTATATCATTTTAACATACAATGCAAAAGTTTTGGCAAGATAGACGAGCACCTGATGATGGCTGTGAAGGGATAAAACTTGTCATGACAGAGAAATAGGTCAAGACAGTAAGTTGCGTTTGAGACAAATATGTATATAGTATATATATACAAATAAAAGAGGATTGGCGAGGAAGTGGTTGTTACTGTTCCATGGTGTTATTTGGGCATTCACATGGACTGTACGAGGAAGACGTCAGGGTTGCAGCAAGTAGGGTTAAATGTGACCGGGTTATATTGAAAGGTTCCTTCAGAATGCAGTCACCACCCAAATGACCACACCTTATATACAAACAGGCTGCGTGCGGAAGTTCAGGAATATAGCCATACCGTACATGTTGCTGGAGTGCCTGGTCCAGCACACAGCTGGCTGTTCTCGATTTGGCGCCTTGCATTCATATTCCACAGCTGGTTGCAGATGACATTATCCAGGATGCGTACAGTTGCAGAAAGTAATACTGATGTTGGCCCTGACACTGAGTTATTTCCTGTGCGTCCCCAGCCAGCGATGACTCCATAGCGACCGGCATATGTCTCATCTGTAACAGGATGTTCATTACAGAATATTTGCTAATGAGTTTAAGCTTGGTGCTTGAAAATGTGGAGATAAGGAGACAAATGGGGAGTTCATGCCCACAGACCACAGGTGTTTGTCATGCCATGGGAAATAGGAAGCACAATGCAACTGTAGCAGCAGTGGCAGGAACTGCTTGCCCCAGGGTTTGAGAGTTTGGCCACACAGCTGTTTCAGATTTGAGATTATGCTGCAGTGCCTATGAACATTACTGTCCTCTAGGAGATGTCACTGTATAGACTCGATCATCAGCAACATTTCAGGGGAACCTACTGCCTCCGTCTTCATGGTAAAACAAGGTGCCCAGTTCCTTGAAAACGGAAATGGTTTACCAGACCACGCGGCATCACATTCCAGATGACAGTAATCTTTAAAGTAACTAGTCTGATGTCAGGTGCAACAAACGATTAAGTACAGATGTGACAGACTGGAATACTAAAGAAAAGTTCTAAGCACAATAGAACATTGAAGGTCACGGTGCAAGGGCCGGATTTTATAGCCCACCCCTCATACTCAAAGAAAAGTTCTTCCCAGAAATTATTGTATGTTACCAGATGTTGGCGGCAGGCAGATGGGCCTGATGATGACGCTGTAGCTGACAGGCTGAATCAGACGTAGTAGTGCAATGTCATGTCTAGTTCCCAGGAACTGAGGGTGCCTCACTATTCTGCTGAGACGCAGCGCGACCTGCCTGATATCTTGCACTGTGTTCCAGTTGTGTATACCCAGCAACACTGTGAAGCGTACAATGTCTGCTACAGTTGGTGCTTGATCGCTGTGGAGAGAACAGTTCTGGGTCACCAAATATTTTTTCTTCTTTCCTGGCAAAATACTTCTGAATGAGACCTTGGTGTTCCTGATGGTTAGCATTGCTGCCAGTTACAAAGATTTACAATTCAGTGTGGTCTCAGAATCCTGAACATTTCTGATATTCCCCATGTTCACAAAGTTTTGTCATACATGAGGGGAGTGGTGCTGGTAGGGGTGGGAAGTTAACGGGTGAGAGTGACCCTGTGGATAAGCAAGATGCCATGGAGTTGTATGCAGGGAGCAAATGGAAAACACTACATGTTCTTAAACTTGATATTAGATGGACTGAGAGGCAGCTTAGCCTCAGGATAGGAGGCCGAGTGGCCCCTGGGCTGGTTTGATAATGATAGGAGAGATAGACATCACTGCCCCTGCTTGAAATCGAACTCCTACCATCCAGAATGCAGCTAGCAGTTTTACCTACTGATCTGTCCCTGCTGTGATATGGAAGGCACATAGAAACATATGCACTTGACAACTTTGACACAAGTGACCAGTGCCTTACACCTTTATCATTGTTTCTGAACCAGTGGGACTTCAAAGCTGAGCAGTGGCATATAAGGTCTCTAAAGTAAGGTAAAGTATAGGTATGGGGGAGTGGAGGTATAGCTCCACCATTCTTGATCTCAGCACTGGGTGGAGGTGAGTTGTCTGCTTCATGCAATGGTCATTTTACCCGCAGGGAAAGAGCTGCCAATATCTATTGTGTAAAGGCTTGGTGAACCCCAGGGCCATCCTGGATGCTGTACAGTAAAGAGAAATCTCTCCTATCCCAAGCGGTAATCAAACCATAGCTGTTGAGCACACTGCTTTACCAGCTGGGCTCTCCTGGATGTTCCCCAAAATAAGAAATTCTATTAATGATCAATATAATACTGGAATGTACATAATTATAAAAATACAGTTCTTGGGAAAAGCAGAAGCTTTGTTTTTCCTGCTGTGGGGCAGAATGATCAGTGGATGCAGAAGATTGAGAATTGCCAGTCTAGACCACTGAGTCCAGGACAGGGAAATATGTACACTTACAATAACAAGCAGTGAGCTGCAGTCAGCACCCACTCATGAGTGATGAGGGATCCCCCACATCGGAAAGAATAATCAAACATCAGTGCTGCGACCCAAGGGAACACATTGGGTGACTCCATACCCCCTATTATCCTGCTTGTTGAGACACCTTTCGGCCGTGTGATGCTGGAAAAACGTTGCTGCTTTGTTCTGAATGTTGGAAATGAGTTCAACGTCACGTTAGGTTTCGGTGTTGATGATGATAATGAGTTTTCTTTTGAATCCATGCTTGGGTACAAAGCATTGGCAATGCCACAGGCTTCCACCACTGCAAAAGGAGAACTAAAGTTAATCTGATGTGTAAAAGGTACATATATGCATATGTAGTGGCCTTATATGAGCCTTATACACTTTTAGATGTTAATAAAGTACAGGGTTTTGTTTCTTAGAGAGCAGCCACTTGGCAGATCAAGAAGAAGACCATTATGAAAGTATGTTGTACAGAACTGTGTTTTACCACAGGCTTTGAATATTTGGGTTCAGAGACTAAATTAGTTTGTGCTCTTTCTACCAAACATGATTAACTCTCTTTTGGGTTGTGTTGCCATGTGTTGATGTTTGAAAAGAATGTATTGCCTCCATCCACATGGTCCAGAAATAACCTGAACAAGGAGCAAGTAGAGAAGATGGAGGGTTTACTTTTCTACATGGCTACATGGTGGTGCATCCCAGAAGACAGTAGTCTCTATAGTCAGCTCTGAGAACCTCTGATCTCACAAGTTTGTTTATTTATTGCCACATTTTCCTATGCATTCAGTAAAGAAGCCATTTCATCACAATTACCTGGAACATGTACAGATGTGCAGTTAATTTGAGCCAGTCGGATGTTCCAGAAAGCATTGGGACTCTGTGCAGTTACCACAACCTGCACCTTACTCGTGCCCCTCACATTGATGACAGCTGAACAAGAGCATTAAGCTTTAGGTGTATGTTGGTACAAGTAAACTAGACATCATTGCATTTAACCCTTTCACTATGATAGATGGAATATCTCTGATGTGCAGTCCTGAACAGTGTGCATGTAGACAGTACAGTATTGCTAAATATACAGTGCTTTAAGAGTCTACCAAATCTTGTAGGAACATTAGTAAAATGATTTTTATTACGAGAAAAGGTCCTATTAACACGAGTCAGATGGCAGTTTTTATTTAAAAATGTCATGAAAACTTGAAGACTAAAATAGATGTTAGATAATAATGAAATATATTACAGATATTTTTCAAAGTGTCCATCAGTGAATTGAATGCACATTTGAGCACAGTATATTGGAGTCTTTGGCAGCAATGTGCATGTGTTATGCTTTTTTGCTAGTAAACTGACGAAGGAACTGAGGCAGGTTGGATTTTTAATGATTCTGACACAACTGAAGACTGTAGCATCAGATATATGTAGTTGATGAATTGCAAAAGGATTTGGAAGGAAATGGTTGTGACTTAATTGAGGTACTGTTCCAACATTCACTTGGAGAGACTGAGGAAAACCACAAATAACTATATCCCAGTCAAGATTAAAACCAATTTTCTCCTGAGTACAAATCTTAGTGATAGCGCTAGACCAACCTGTCTGGTGTTTGGTTTTCTGTTGCATGTAGTCTGTATGAATGAGATGGTATATGCATTTGGTGTAAATGATGAGGCACTTAACAGGTTATTTGGTAGACAAAGGGCTGCAGTGGGATATTCTTTTGTTATGTGTGTCTATACAGACAAGTGTTTCATAATTTCTGTCTTTAAGCATTCTGTTGCTGTTTCCTTCACATATATGAAAACGAGATATCAGTTTTTCCATTACACAACATGTATTCTGTCCCAATGTTTACAAAGTGGGTGGCATGTTCTAGCACGTATGTACCATCTTAATGTCATCAGTTATCTCAAGGCATGCATATGCTTTATATCAAGAGATATGCTTGTATATATTTAGTATGATAAGTACATTGGCATTCTAATTGCATATTAAGCTTTAAAAATGTTATCTATAAAATAACCAGAAAATAAATTATGTTGGATTTTAGGTTATCACCGATAAGAAAGAAGAGTGTGATCTGTGTTGTAATGCTGTGTAGTTTGGTAGCTATTCCAGTGACATTTCAGAGGAACTTTGGGGTCTGCTACTGAACTATACAGCATTATAACACAGATGATCATAATCTTCAAAGGTAAATTAATTATTAAAAAAGTTGGTACATAGTATTAACAGATGTACAAGGCAATTGGCATATATTACTGTGGATGTTGTAGCTAATTTAGCTGTACACAGTATTACTTGTTTATTTTTCTGATTCACCACTAGAAGTTTTTTGTTAATCTGCATGTTGGATGATTTGGGGGTTAACACAATTGGCACTGGCTGCATAGGTGTATGTGACATGTTGCTTGAATGGTAGATGGTACAACACTATGGAAGTTAAGAATCATCATATTTATCTCCATCAGACATACAGGGTGTCTTTAGGAGATCAGTTTTGGGCATTTTAGAGACAAGACAAATATGATCTGAACTTACTGGACATTCCTTGTATCAAACCGCAGAAGGGCACATTGTATCCATCCAAGGTCTGTTTATACTGTAATATTGTTACTGAATCCCGTGAACAGGCCCAGTGCACGGCAGGAGAAAGTATGGCTTCAATGAACTCCACCCTAGAAATAAATTATGAATTGTACATAACATAATTCTTGTGCATCTACTTTTTTTTTTTGTTTATTTTTCTTGAAAGCTATAAGACTTGAGAAAAGTGTATTTGGTATAAAATGTTTTATTTTTCTTGACAGCTTTTCTCTAAAATGAATTTTGGCTAGATAAATGTTTAAGAACTACATTTATTATGTGTACAGAAACATGTGTATATCTTCATATAGTGTCCAGTGTCTGAAGTTAGCCACAATTGGAATTTGTTAACACATTTTAGTAACCATTTTGAAGTCTGAAAAGGAGAACTAACTAATTGCATGGAGTTCAGTCTTTCTTGAGAAGCTAATCATTGCTTAGCTACTTAAGGAACCAAAAGAATTTTAGTTCATTAGCTTTTTACCATGGTTACAAGAGCCCATCACTGATCTCTATTCTGAGCCAAACATACCAGTCCATATATTAAAATTCTATTCTTTTTAGATTAATTTTAATATTATCATCCCATCTACCCCAGGGCCTTACTTGTTGTCTCTCTCCTGCAAGTTTTCCTACTAAAACTGAAAATGAGACAGTTGGTAATATTATTATTAATCTTAAGGAAATCGATTGAGAGGCTGGAAGATAGTGTAACTAGCTTAGAATCATGCCCTGAAATGGGCTTCGATAGTGACATTTTTTTTTCAGAGAGTGGCTGGTCTGAGGCAGATATGTTGTATCTTCATACTTGACTCCACACACGTCTTGTCTAGGAACCATGGTGAATGCACAGTTGATAGGCTCCGTGTTAATGGCTGGGTAGTTGGGATTCCGGAACAGTGCCACGTTGTCAGATGTTGTCTGACCACAAGACTCTCTGACTGTAACAGATATATCATCAGTTTGTATTGATTACTTGACAGTGCTGTATTAGAATGTGGTCTTCTTAGATCTGACACTATGTAGTGATATGACATTATCAATGTTTTGGAGGACACTGCTGCTACCACTTTCAGGGTTGAAGAGAAAGCCAAGCAAAAGTTAATTGTTTCTTGCTTGTTTGCTTGGTTTATTGTTTGACACTGAAGATAGAGGCAGGGTGTACCTCCATTGGTTAACTTATACCATACTCATCCCAGGTGATAGTCATGGCTGTGAGAACCCCAATCAGGGACAAAATCTGTGTTTACAGACTTTATGAGACAACTGGTGGCCAAGGTTTCTTTTTCTTCTTCAGTCAAACCTTAAATTTTGGTTCACTTATTGCACGCTTAAAATACAGTTTAGTTCCTTATTTCTGTTGAATGCAGACTGTAAACAGTGCCCCAAATGTAGATCTAGCATATGACAATTATTAGATAGAATTACGTGCATTAAATAATACAAGGAGATCAGTGTAATATGAATAATATGAACCATACCACTGCATGATGCATACTTACAGGAACAGCATACACCTCTCGAGGACATCTGTGGTTCAATGCAGTAACCTATAGATTCACCCCCTGACTGGTCACAGTATTGCCTTGAGGTACAGGTCCCCCTCTCACATGGTACAATGCCCCCAAATATGCCAAACATGTCTGAAATGAAGGTTTATAAAAACACATATCTCTAAATAACATATAAATCAAAATGAACACTGGTCAGTAAAAGTAAAGTTGTCCCTGTGCTTAACTAATTAAACACTGTGCCATGAAGGCGTATGGGGGAGTGGTTGTATAGATGCACATTTTCTTGACCTCGACACTAGTTTGAGGTAAGTGGTCAGCTTCACGTCCCGGGAACACTGGTCAGTGATGTCAAAATTTAATCAAATTATTACTGATCACAAACATTGTGAATTTTGGTTAATTATTTGGGAAATGCAGTGGAGCCCCCATTTAATGTGCATGAATTTAAGAATTCCTCATTTAGGTGATCATATCCCCTGGTCCCTAAGGAAACCTGAAAGTGGGGTTTCACTGTGTGTGTGTGTCTGACATTTATGTTGGGCAAACTATGACTGGGGCAGGGATTCCTACAAGAACTGAAGAATTCCCCTTCAAATCATCACTCTCTAATAATCCATACTCATTTATCATCATCCTCTGAAATGTGTACCTCGCATACCTGGTGGGTTAGCACAGTAATAACATATCTACTGGTTCAACTCGAAGCCTCAGATATCCTAACTGCGAATTCTCGCAATTTTCCCCAGTTACTTCAGTTGAATTCACAGGTAGAACATTAGAGAAAGGTCACAACCACTCCCTTTCACCGAGAAGGTTGGCATAGCGGTAATGTTCTAGGTTTATATTTGGGAGGTACTCGATTTGGACACCGGCTATCCTGACTAAGGTTTTTGGTGGTTTTTCCCAGTCGCTCCAGGGAAATAGTACCTCAATTAGGTTACTACTGCTTCCTTCCAAATCCCTTGCAATTCACTGT